AACTTTTGCGCTATCTGGTTTATCTTGCCTTTGAAGGATTCTAACTTGAGCTTCGGAGCCCTTACGCCGGGTTCTCCCCGGAGCTTCTCTTCTCCTTCCGTTTCAGGTCCCTATTACTCAGTTCAGTGACAAGATCATTGATAGCTAAGACCGGCCAGATTGTGCATCATCACTTGCCTATGATCATGTTCATCATCTCAGTACACAACAGCATCATACTCCAGCTTTTAATGGAATCTTCCCCTTATTATACCAGCTCTTCTTATGTTTCAAATTTTCAACTTAAGTTTTCCCAAATAAGAATTTATCTAAAAGGGGTTTTAAGCTGAAACTTGCCCTGAAAGGGCATGAGAGGAATATAGGAGGAGGCCCTTTTGGCTTACCAACAAAATTACTATATAGAAGATTCCTGAATTGTTCAGATCCATTTACTAAATGGTCTGACTATCAGACGCATCACAACTTCAAACTTATAAAATAAAATGCCCCAAGACCCAAACAAATCATTCTTATTCTACACATTGTGCTTGATCAAAATTGCAGCAAAAACAGATATATGGTGATGTGGTAAATACATGGATACCTTTTCCCCAGAGTCTGGTTCCACTTCAAAAAAAGAAATGATGTGTGGCCCATCAGGGCCTGACAGCTGCCCCCTGAACATGCCCATGAGGCCCCGAGTTTCCACTCAAAAGAGCCCTCCAACCCTGAGACACATCATTGGCTTACAAAGCTGCAAACAGCATATCCCCAACTCTCTTTTGTACTCTAAAGAAGTCATTACCTAGAATATTCTAACATGTCTCATTTATTTGTAAGAAACCAGCATCTCTCTTTGCAGCTCCATCCAGGTTGTGGTCCTTGTGGACTCACTGCTACTTCCTTTACTTTCTTCATTTATTTATTCCTCCTTACAATTTTTCTTATTTTTTTTTTAATTTGGGGTGGTGATTTGAGTACAACCCATGTTTAATAAACCACCACACTTTCATGGGTTATCTTCCATTCTTTTGTCTTTTCCTTTATCAAAAACATGTGTGCCCAAATCAGCCCCTTCTAATGCCTTCACACTTATTTAAATTAAAATAATTAAGGCCCTGAATCCAACTGTTTGGTTGGAATATGGGTCTGGAATTGGAATTGGAATTGGAATGAGCTATTTAGATTCTAACCGTTTGGTTTAATATCATTTTCTCATTTGAAAGAATGGTCATTCTCTACCTACCTCTCCTTTAAGAATGAAATCTCATTCTTATTAATTCCAATTTTTATTCTCATTTCTCTCTGAATCAAACAAACCATAAAAATAGACTATTCCGATTCCGGTTCTGATTCCACTGCAAATCAAACCCACCCTAAAATCGTTATTAGGAACAATTATCTCTTAAGCAACTCAAATAATTTAAAATTAACCAGAGGCAACCCGCGCTGTTCAGCGAGTCTTACTCCAGTTGTCTATTTATGTACATCGTATAAGTAGTTAAATGCATTATTTTTATTAAAAAACACGTGTCAGTATCTCTGAAGTTGTAAAACAATAATTTGGCATCTTAAATTTTTATTATAAAAGTTAATTTGGTATTTGTGCTTTGTAACAGAGATACTATTGCAGCAATTATTTCTACTTTTAAAAGATTGTCAGTATCTCTCTGATTATAGACAAATTTGATATCTTAGGGAAATACTTTTGAAGTTTTTTGGAAATCAACTTTGGCCACCAACTTGCAATTTGCATTTATAAAAAGCAGAAATACAGAAATATCATTAATTAACACATGCCTTTTCTTGATCCTAGGTTGAGAATGGAGAAGGGTTGCCTAGATTTTTTATTGTGAGTTGCAAGCAATGAGGAATCTGTGGGCCCAAATATCAATTGATCAAATGATCATCTTTCTCACCCACAACCACAAGAAGAAAGAAAGAAAAAAGTGCTTTTAAATCATATTGTTTCAACCATGGGATTGGAACAATTTGTGGAAACCACTAGTCAATGTGATATTGTCCCACTAGATCAGTAATCAGTTTCCTGTGTCGGAAGGACCTGAGAAAAGCACTTTTTAGGTCCGAGGCAAATAAATCCTTATGCTCATTATGAATTGGTGGGCCATCGTAATACATTTTCCATTGGACTTTGGATAACTTAAATTAAGAAAAAAAAAATCTGGAAATACACAGTTAAAAATAGAGCCATTTACTTAGAGACCCCTCTACTTTGCCTTATTATTTAGTAAAACCTACCCTAGTTTATAATCACTTTTTTAACTGACCTTCTTTGGGATTTTTTTTTCTTTTTTTTTTGTAATTTCGTTTGAGAATAATCACATGATCTCTGAAAACAAGTGGAAAAGGCATGAGCTTAGGGTTAAATCAACAATTTGTGTTTTAATTAATTTGATTGAACAGATAGATGTTAGGGTCACAAACATTATTTCGTAATTAGGGTGTGGACATCGAAAATGTATAAAGGTCTGGTCTTAGAGTTTTTTATTCCAAAAATACCCCTATCAGAAGCTCTCATATCAAACTTCTAGATACAAAAACTAGGGCTAAAATCAACAATTTGTTTTTTTTTTAATTTTTCTTTTGATTTACTTGGTCGAACTGATGTTAGGGTAAAAAATATCATTTATTTAATAGAAATGCAATTCAGGGTGTCTCGAATTAGCATTTTATATTGCTTTAGTAGGGGTGGTCACGAGCCAAACTCTTCACGAACTATTCGAGCTCGGCTCGACTTGATTTCAACCAAGTTTTGAGTTGAGCTCGAGCCCAATTTATAAGCTCGTTTATTAATCGAGCCAAGCTTGAATAGTTACATAGTAATAATAATAATAATAATAATATTATTATTATTAATAAAATTGTAGAAAATAATATATATATATATATATAATATTTTTATTTTATATATAATAATAACTAATTATTATAATTCTTAATTTTTTAAATATCAAATAAAAAATATTTTTTATATATAATTTTTTTATTTTTATAAAACAATTTTCTAAAATCGAACTTGAACCGAGCCGAACTCGAGCTTACAAGCTTTTGACTTGAACCAAGCTCGAACTTATTAGCTTTTAACTCGAATCAAGCTCAAGCTCAAAGTTCTAGCTCAAACCAAACTTGAACTCGAATTCAAACCTTGTATTGCCTTGGCGAGCCAAACTCGAATAATTAATTATTCGGCTCGACTCTGCTCGAATCCACCCCTATGCTTTAGACTTTAGGTCAGGTCCTATTCCCAATTCCATCTAAAAATGTAGCAAAATGTAAAGCGGTTGCAAATTATAAGGTGTCGTAATAAGAAACAAATTATAGGGTAGGTTTTGGTAGCTATAGACAATTAAAAAGTGTATTTATGTAAATATCATTAAAAAGAAAAAATAAAAGAGAAGAAAAAAAGAAAAAGGTAGGAAAAAAACTTCCAGTACCTACCCCGAGAAATTGAGTTTATCGAGAAATTAAGCTTCCGGGATATGGCAGGAAAGTAGTTTAACTTCTTACCTTTACGGAGCACTAAAAAATTTAAAAATACAGTTAATTCGAGAGAGGGAAGAGGTGAGAAAGTTTATTTTGTCGGCCATTAATGCTTCAGTGTGGAGCTTTCTTTCTTTCTCTCTCTCTCGGCCCTCGGATTCAGCATTCAGGAAACGATTTTCTTCTCATTTGGGTTTGTATGCTTTTGTTGTTTGATTAGAGAGGGAGCAAAAGGGAGAGAAAGTTGTGATCCATTGCACTTGAGTTCGACTGAGAAAGGAAAAGCTAGATTTGATGCATGAGTTTGTATATCAAAAAGGTGGATTTTACTGAAAAATTTTTGCCTAGAAATCGAAGCTGTCGCTATTTTGAAGATCTTTGCGTGAAAAGGCGAGTTGGGTTTTTTTATCTCGTCTTGTGGGTAATGAATTTTACGGTTTTGATGTCTAGAGTAATCGGAAATGGTGGACTTTGTGGGGTGTTTTTGATGAACTATGGGCTCAGAGGCATGTAACTGCGTTACCTTGTGGAGGTGGGTTCAGAATTGTTTATAGCTCTTGTTTCCTTTCCAGAGTTTGATTGCTAGTTTCTTACAGTTGTAATTTGAGTTCCTTAACCGTTAAGGTGTTCTTTAGTAGATAAAAAAGTTTATTTCTTTTTTCTGTTTATGTATTTCTTATGGAGGAATGAGGGATCAATCTTTTCTTTTATTTTCTTTAAGCTATGGTCTAAGTTATGAGTTTTGATATTTTTGGAATTCAGTTCTGGATTTTCTTCCAATTGGGAACTTCTTTTGCTGAACAGAACAGCTTTTGTTGATAATTGTTTCTATGCGTTTTCATGTATTTCAGATTTCAACTCTGGGTTTCTTCAAAATGTTTTTCTTTTGGTGAATATGGGTGCAGGATACTGGTTCGTTAGTGTGTTAATGTAAGATAGCTAACCTTCTGCAGGTTCTTATATTCTTTTTGGGTGTTAACTTGAGTTGAGAGCCGACTATTAAAATGTTGAGGATTTTGAAGTCGAAGCGAGGTTCTTTTATGGGCTTTGGTGGATTTTTACTGGTAGCAGCTCTACTGATTTGGGTTTCTGAGGGGCTAAATTCGGAAGGGCAATACCTCCTGGAGCTGAAGAGCAGCCTTCATGATGATATTAACCATCTGAGTAGCTGGAATGCCAGAGATGAGACGCCATGTGGATGGGTGGGTGTGAATTGCACACTCGACTACTACAATCCGGTGGTCTGGTCTCTTGATCTTAATTCCATGAATCTTTCTGGGACCCTTTCATCGAGTATTGGTGGTTTGGTCCACCTGACATATCTCGATTTGTCATACAATAAATTCTCTGGAAGCATACCAAAGGAGATTGCTAATTGTTCAAAGTTGGAGGTTATTTACCTGAACAACAACCAGCTTGAAGGTGAAATACCTGTAGAATTGGGCAACCTTCCTTTATTAACAGAATTAAATGTATGCAATAACAAAATATCTGGACCTCTTCCAGAGGAGTTTGGAAATCTTTCATCTTTGGTTCAATTAGTTGCATATACTAACAACTTGACAGGCCCATTGCCTCATTCACTTGGGAACCTGAAGAAATTGAGAATTTTTCGAGCAGGGCAGAATTTGATATCCGGAAGCATACCTGCAGAGATAAAAGGATGTGAGAGCTTGGAAGTACTGGGTCTTGCCCAAAATCAGTTAGGTGGTGAATTACCCAAGGAGGTTGGGATGCTTGGGAACTTGAAGGAAATCATCCTTCAAGATAATGAGTTATCTGGGGTTATTCCAAAGGAGCTAGGGAATTGTACGAACCTCAGGACTCTTGCTCTGTACCAGAACAATCTTGTGGGTGAAATACCTGCGGAGATTGGAAACCTGAAGCTTCTGGAAAAGTTGTACCTTTACAGGAATTCGTTGAATGGGACAATTCCAAAGGAGATTGGAAATCTTTCTTTGGCAACAGAGATAGACTTCTCAGAGAATTCATTGTCAGGAGAAATACCAATAGAGTTAACTAAGATAAAGGGTCTACGCTTACTCTATCTTTTCCAGAACCAGCTTACAGGCATTATTCCAGATGATCTCAGCAACTTAAGGAATTTGACTAAGCTTGATTTGTCGATTAATTACCTCACAGGTCATATTCCAGTTGGATTTCAATATTTGACTGAACTGCTCCAGTTACAGCTCTTCAACAACTCACTGAGTGGTAGCATTCCTCAAGGGCTTGGAGTGTATAGCCGACTTTGGGTGGTTGATTTCTCGGAAAATGATCTAACTGGAGAAATACCCCGTCATCTTTGCAGACATTCTAATCTGATTTTATTGAACCTAGGTTCAAACAGACTGACTGGAAATATCCCTACAGAGGTCACAAATTGCAAATCACTGGTTCAGCTTCGCCTTGTTGGAAACAGCCTTACTGGGAGCCTTCCATCTGATTTATGTAAATTGGTTAACCTCTCTGCTATTGAATTGGACCAAAATAAGTTTAGTGGCCCTATTCCTTCAGAAATAGGGAATTGCAAAGCATTGCAAAGACTTCACCTCTCTGATAATTACTTTACATCTGAGTTGCCAAAAGAAATAGGTAAGCTTTCTAGGTTGGTGACCTTTAATATCTCATCAAATATGCTTACTGGACGAATACCACGAGAAATTTTCAATTGCACGATGTTGCAACGACTTGATCTCAGTAGGAACAGATTTGTAGGTTCGTTGCCAGATGAGCTTGGTAACCTTTTCCAAATGGAGCTTCTCAAGCTTTCAGAAAACAAGTTCTCAGGAAGTATACCTGCATCATTAGGCAACCTCTCCCGTTTGACTGAGTTACAGATGGGTGGTAATGCATTTTCTGGTGAGATACCACCAGAATTTGGTGGTCTTTCAAGCTTACAGATTGCATTGAACCTCAGCTACAATAATCTCTCAGGTGGAATTCCACCTCAGATTGGGAATCTCATCTTACTAGAATTCCTCCTGCTTAACAACAATCATTTGACTGGTGAAATTCCTGGGACCTTTGGGAATCTATCAAGTTTATTAGGGTGCAATCTTTCATACAATGATCTCACTGGTCCTTTGCCTTCCATTTCACTGTTTCAGAACATGGCCATCAGCAGCTTTATTGGAAACAAAGGTCTTTGTGGAGGACCTCTTGGGGAATGCAGTGGATCTCCATCTTCACCCTCTTTCCAACCAACTCCACAAGTAGAAGATCCACCTCTTGCTAAATTTGTCACAATAGTTGCAGCAGCTATTGGTGGGGTTTCTCTCGTTCTAATTGTAGTAATTGTATATTTCATCAGACGTCCAGTTGATACTGTTGCTCCTTTACAAGATAAACAATTATCTTCTCTCTCAGACATATACTTTTCTCCAAAGGAAGATTTTACTTTCCAAGACCTTCTTGAAGCAACAAACAATTTTGATGACAGTTATGTGCTTGGAAGGGGTGCTTGTGGAACAGTGTATAGGGCAGTTATGTCATCTGGGCAGATAATTGCTGTTAAGAAGCTTGAGTCCAATAGAGAGGGGAACAATATTGACAACAGCTTTCGTGCAGAGATTCTAACACTGGGGAAGGTCCGGCATCGGAATATTGTAAAACTATATGGTTTCTGCTACCACGAGGGTTCTAATCTTCTTCTCTACGAGTACATGGGGAGAGGCAGCCTGGGAGAATTGCTTCATGGGGAATCTTGTAGCTTGGAATGGCAGACACGATTCACAATTGCTCTTGGGGCTGCTCAGGGGCTGGCTTATTTACATCATGACTGCAAGCCTAGGATCATTCACCGAGATATAAAGTCTAATAATATCCTACTTGATGATGACTTTGAAGCTCATGTTGGTGATTTTGGACTGGCAAAGGTGATTGACATGCCGCAGTCCAAATCAATGTCTGCTGTTGCGGGATCATATGGTTACATTGCCCCTGGTAAGTTCCATTTGGCCCTTTATATGAAAATATGTAATCCATCCTTCTGATTTCCTGGTTAGTTTTATTGGGTGACTATGTTTTGCATGCTATCTTCACTTAGAGTAGTGTAAAAGGGTGCTTCCTTAATGGGTTTCTTCAAGCCATACTACATGATATGACCAACACAGTCTGAAGTGTTGGTGAAAATTATACATCTAGGATCTGTTTTGAGTATTTAGTAAACAGTTACTTATGTTCCGTAGCTTTTTAGGAAATCTAGAAAATTTGAGAAGAGATTTCGATATAATAACAGTAACATTTTAATTTTGTACTCTGGATTAATAATAATGACAGTAATGATCAAATAACAACAACAATAAAAAAGATAAATATAAAGGGTAAAAAACCAACATGGCAACAACCCCATAGGAAAGTAAAAATTCCAAGGAGCCCAGAAAGCCCCTGGAGGAGGGAGAAAACACTGTAACCCAGTTGATTTGCATAATATTCAACTAAAATAAAATTTTATGCACCTATTTAATTATTAGAGATTTTTTTGAGAAAATTTAATTATTAGAGACCTTAAATCAAAATCTCTTCCATCTGTAATTTTTGTGCCTACATTTTTTTTTCTCAAAGTGATCTTTTACCATAAGCTTTGGTTTTAAAATGGAGAAAAAGGACTAACTTTGTTCTTTTCATAAAATTAATTTGAATATTAGATATCACAATGGAAGTTTATCTAAACAATCACTACTTACACCAAACTTGAGACCAACTTTTCTCCAATTGATGAATAATTATGTTGGTTCTTTCTGATGATTATAAGTTTGTTCTGGAAATATCCAATTTGCACTTTTARCTCATTTGAAGCTAAATCGACTACTGAAAACTAATAATGATTTTTTATGGATACTTATAGCTATTTTATAATTTATTGAAGCTAACTTAGGGAAACAGATGAGTTTAATTTCACAGGCTTCCAGCTAAGTTCAGGGTTTCATTTCTTGCAAATAAAGATCATCAGACATCTCAGGCAGTTTTTTGAGTTATCGAATAAAAATTTTTAACTCAGGCTTTTAGAGTTCTTTTGAAAACTATTTTCTGTTTCCTGACTTAGTATATTGGAGGAGGCTGTCACTTTTTCTGTTTTCTCTTTTGGTTTCTCACCATGACTAGTTAATGAGTCCATACTGAGTAGTGTGATACTATATGTAGTTATTTTGTTTGAATTCCACTATCCATGTGGTAATTCTTGAAGTATATATTTATGGGATTTCATTTGCTTTGTTCCAATAGAAAAATGCTTTTCCCCCCCTTTTTTCAGGAAATTTTCAAAAGCAATCAATATGAAGATTTATTTCCCCATTTGCTGGAAAATACCTAGTTGGTGAAGTTTTACATGTGAGGGTCATGACTTGAGGTTATGCTTAAATGGTTAGGCTAAGGGAGTGTTCTGTAGTGTGAATATTTCTGTAGATCTGTTGGTTATGGAACATACCATGTCCATTAGGCCTTTTTTAAGGATGTGGCATGTTTTGAAATCATCCATGGATGATTCTGATCCACAAAATTTGTCCATTTTTGTCCACTGATAAATCTTGTCGTTCTGCCCATGCCATGATGAATTGCCTAACTTTCGTGTCACAATAAATGACCAAAGTATACTCCTTAAAATTAACATAGACTTTTGTTGACAACACAGCTATGTTGAACAACACCTTTTAGAGTATGGTGTGGTTCAAAACATGTGGTTTCAACCACACTACAATGGGGTGCAGGAGGTTCATTGACATGACACCTCAACCACACCACAGTACAGAAAACCTCCTAAATGAAGAAGCTTGAGCCACATCTTATGTCAGGTTTGGATCCCCTGCTTATATCTCCGAAGTTAATACATCAAACTGCAAAGCATAAGCCCTATGCTTTTGAGACCCTATGTTATTATTTTTGTTAATCTTTTCTTTTTGGGGGATGGGAAGGGGCAGAAGTTTTCTTAAAGGCTTTTCTATCTGTTTGCAGCAATAGCTTAAATTGCAGGCATAAATGTTGGTTAAAATCCCTCTGTTTCTCCACCAAGTTATGGTTATTAATTTGTGCTAATTTTAGATGCTATAGAAACTAATATAGCTTTTTCCATGTCAGAATATGCATACACCATGAAAGTTACAGAAAAATGTGATATCTATAGCTACGGGGTTGTTCTTTTGGAGTTGTTGACTGGAAGAACACCTGTACAACCACTAGACCAAGGAGGTGACCTCGTTACATGGGTGAGAAACTATATTCAGAATCATTCATTGACACCTGGAATATTTGATGCTCGATTAAATGATGTAAAAGAAAAGAGAATTGTTGATCACATGACCACTGTTTTAAAAATTGCCTTATTCTGCACAAGTTTGGCCCCTTTAGATCGTCCTTCAATGCGACAAGTTGTGTCAATGCTGATTGAATCTGATGAGCAACAAGGGAACTGTATTTCTTCTACAGATGACAATACTTCTTTCAAGGATGATATCCCATGAATGCCTTCAATACTTTGGAATAGCCAAAGTAAATATTCTTTTTTCTTTTTGGTGCCAATTCTTCCTTGTATTATTTGCAGATTGAAATTTATAAAGTATCTCTGTACATCCTTCTTTTCCACATTTTTACACCAATTGTATCTATCAGTTTTTGCAGCTAATGGACATCCTCTGGATTTCTCTATCTTCTTTGAAAGAAATACAACAGAAGTTATAAACAATCAACCATTTGTTTTGCCTCTTATATCATGGAGGCTTTTGTTAGATGGCTGCATAAGATACTTGTCATATTCACCACCAGTTTTTTTTTTTTTTTATCTGTTTACGTATATTCAGATTTTCCATTTTCTAGTTTAAGCCTGATCAACATTGAGCAATTTAGGAGTTGAACATAATTTATCAGGTTGATAAGTTTTACCTAGGTAATTATAAAAAAAAGTTTTACCTAGGTAAAATTCTGTCTAGTATTTCTTATGTTGTATGTTGATTAATTATCTTACATTTTTATCCTCCTATATGCTCTAGAAGCAAACTTTTGGTTTGGTATCCTCAAAATTGAACATGAGAGTAGAGGAAAAACATTTGGTTTCATGTCTATTGTTCGGGTAAAGATTAAGGAGTCATAAATGGGCATAAAATCTTGTTTGGGATGGATATTTGCAATGACCACTCTATTGTTCAATAGAGTGCAAGTATTTATTGTGAATACAAAATTGACAAGTTGATTTAAAGAGTAGAGGACGGAACCTTTTCTTCCATGGCTAAAATAAGTTCTATTTGGTCACTAGTCTTTAACTGGTCACCATTTTTGGCCTCAAGATGCCTTTCCGAATGATGTGGTGGTTCGGGCTTTGGCTACTTTGCATTCTTGGTTGTCAGCTAAAGGACCTATTTAACAATATCCCACATCAGTTTTTTGATCATGCATCCTTTTCACTTAGATAAACAGTTTGAGTTTTTTTTTTTTTTTTCGTGTGTGTGTGTGTGTGTCGCTGGAGAGCCTAGTTTTTGGGTGGCTTATCTGTATAGTGTCTGGTTGTACATGGAGCGTACTTGAGTGATTCTTGTAATTTTGATCTTTTACAGTAAAGATTAATAAAATACTTCATCTCTTTCTCAAAAAAGAAAAAGATGGTTTTCTGAATGGGGGTTTTCAGGAATAAGTCTATGTTCAATTACCACTTAGTATTTATGTTATAGCGAGTTATATAGATTTAGGAAGTCTAATTATGTCTTGAAACAATCTCTTAGATAAGTGATGTAACTTACATGCACACCACACTTTCATTGAAAGAGCTGGTAATTCTTTGATACATTGATTGTTTACGTGAATGGCATTGTTCTTATAGATGATAATGCATTTGAGATCACTGAGTTGAAGTAAAAATAGGAGTAAATACTAAATACTAAAGTACAAAAATATCATTAACAAAGCAATGCTATATAGCACTACAAAATCCAAGCAACCTTAGGCCTTTGAAATCCTTGAGAAACACTTACCCGGTGGAAGAAAGTTTCACACTACACTTTTCACCAGCAACATTATCATCAAGAGTTGCATCTCATTTTTATCAGAAGGAATTATTTTCTAACCTCTTACAGAAAATCTTCAATATGCATGTATTGATTATGCTTATTGAAGCCAATAACCTTGTAGTTCGGTTGGTCACTCAGCATCCCTCCATTCAGGAGACATGGGTTCAAACTTAAAGCCTGCGAAAGGGCAGTCTCTCCACACCATGAATGCCAGTGGGCCATTGCTCATGTAATGGAGAGAAATAGAATGCTGCCACATGAACCTAAGAAGGTAAAAGCATGTAGCATATACAGTTAGTTTCTTCCTATATCCTCTTCATAAATGATGAAGCATAGATTCCATATTCTTCTTGATCAATTGCTTTACTATCTGTCATTTCCAAATTCCAAAGAGCTACTGTCCAAAGAAAGAAGGAAGCTCTGGTAGGAATGGGAGTGGCCTCAGATGAACCATACAATGAATTGGTGACCTTTGCCAACAAAAGGGTGGAAATGGATAACTTAACTGAAAAATGTTCCTTCCTTTCACATACTCTGAACTTGCCTATCATTAACTTGATATCAAGGGAAATGCCCATTTAATCTTTTTCACAAGGGAATCCAATTCCTAGTTGTTTAACTTTCTCCCTAACCTCAAAACCTGTCTAGCTAACCCGTGAAAAAGGATGCTTCATGCCTTCATCTGCCTTTCTGTGAAACATGTCTCGAGCACCATTTTTCAAAGTCAGAACAGAATCCTAATAGGAACAAGGAATAACCCAAAGGGACTTTGCTGGAATTATACGTCATCCTGAAAAAAAAAGGTTTAACTTACATACAACCAGTCAGCCACCTTTTACTTAAGGGGTAGTGATACTAAGCTCCCTGAACTTTGTTTTGTGACAAAGAACCCCTGAACTTCTGGTTTCCAACACTTTTGCCCTCGCCGTTAATATTCAGTTAGTCACTTTCATGGAATATTTCTTTAAACATTTCTAAAACCCCAAACTGTCCTTATATGTTGTTTTATGAGACCATTTTGCTCTTTTAATTCAAAACCCTAACTTTCACATGCTTCTCTCGAATTTCTTACAACAAAGGAAAATATTGGTGCTTTAGAATGGTTATTTTTTTTTCTTTTCATTTTGATATTTGTTGTTGCTAGTCCATAGAGTCTTGAACGGACAATTTAGTAATTTTACTTTCACAGATAGCCCTGCTAGTTGGTCAAGGGGCAAAGTGCTTCATAAAACAAAATTCGGAGAGCAATGTGTTACCACCCCCCAAGTACAGGGCGGCTATCTGTAATTTACCCAAAAAAAAAAATTCTAGTTTTAACACAATGCTGGGTGTATCCATCAGTATCAGTGATGAGGGATTTCTTTTTCCATTTTGCTAGTAGTTGTGAGTGTCTCATTAATTTCCAATAAATGAGAAAAATAAAGAAGCTAAACAGGAAGGATGCCTTTGTCCCATTTCCAAACAGGAAGAAGTAGATGCTCCCCTAGAAGAGTATCTACTTCTATGTAGTTAGGTTTCTCTTAAATTTCATACCACAGCTCTTCTATGTAGTTAGGTTTCTTTTTCCATTCAAGTGATGTTTTAAAGGAGGTTGCTATCCCTCCAAACTGCAACCTATCTCCTCTAATCTTGAAGAGAAAAAGAATGTTAGGAGGGGTTCTTGTCATCATAGAGTTGAGATTTTCTGCCAACAAATTAAACACATTCCAACCCTTTACCAACCTGATCTAACACCACATATCTCAACATGAGACTGGGACCCATCATGTATGAGATGTGCGGTGTAAGATCACGTTGGTAGAGGAGGGTTGGAATGTGTTTTGTTGGCAGGTTATCCAGACTCATCATCATATGTTTAGACATAAAGAGACCCCTGAATCTATGTAAACAGCATTTCGGTGGGTTCAAAAACCAATACATATCATACCAACGTTTTCGAACTGCCATTGGACTGGACGGTTGGACTGTTCGACCCAGGAACCATCCAGGCAACCGGTTCCATTTTCCCCCAAACCTAGTCCCTGACAAAAAAATATTGAATCAGTCAATGACCTGTTGACTCAGGTGATTGAATTGTCGACTCGTTCAATGATTTTTGGCCCTCTTTTATTTTAATTATTATTTTTTTTATTTTTAATTTTTTTATCAGAACAGACCATCTGTTCGAACCAAACGGTCAAACAGTCGATATAGAAATCAATGGCCAAAACGGTTCTGATTCCAATTCCGAATCATTTTTTAAAACATTGTATCATAAGATACACTGATATTTTGAACCTTGCTTAGAGAGACTTCCCTGCTAACATTCTCCAACAGCTAGTGTGCCCTTAATCAAAAACCCATATCCATTTGCCTACTGGGGCTGCAATCATACTTCTCAAGGACAAAGTTCTAGATAGTGAGCAATTGAGCATATGTTTCAAACCACTCAATGGCACTTCCATCCTGCCTGTCTCCATTCCATGTGTACTTGAAAGCAGGGTCAGGGTGCACCAGATCCAGATATTTTGGTCGTAATTGATTGTTATCTTATCCACTTGGGGGGTGTGTAGCTTGAGTACCTGATTTGAAGATTATAAACTGGGCTCATTCAAATTTTAACAAGATTCAACCCAAGACTGCTCAAGTTGCACTCCTAACATTACTTTTCCAAAGTCTATCCTCTCCCCCCCTCCGTTTTGCTTTTTCATTGGTTTTATCTACAAATTTTCTTTCTTTTTACCAAAATTCCAAAACCATTTATCTAACTGGGGCTGAACTAATTGTAGTAAAGGACAAAGTTCAGTTCAGGACCTCTACTTTGCTTCTGCCCTGGAGAAGGTGGTAGATTATCCAGTCTGGTTTGTCTTGTGGGTGACCAATTGAACATCAACGGTGGGACCCACCAATTGAGAACTAATCATGAGCCCATGTATTCTTCTGGGTCAACCCACTTTTTAAATTATTGCTCTCTATGTGAACCCCCTCTTTGAACTGGGATTTTCAGACTCTTAATCATGGCTGGGCGTTCTACTTGACTACTTGTTTCTTGTCATAATTTGTTCTGCTGTCATGTCCTTAACCCTGAATTTCATCAGTCTTGTCATTCTACACCACACTTACTTGCCTGTGGCTTAAAAACTCCTCCAGTCCTGAGAAGAACTTTTATGCATCACAGTCTTAATCAGTCTCTTATCTAGATGATCTTTAACAGTAATTATTTGACTCAAATCATCTTCGTTTTTGTTTATTGTGAAGCAACTAAGAGCTTATTTTGTTTCATAGCTCGTACTTTGTCTCCATACCAACCTGCAAATTCCAAATGAATTCACCAACTTGGACGTACGAGTCAGTCAAGGAAATTTTAGTCCCTTTCAGTCTACAACATGCAACAGGTCATTGAAGGATCTGAAACCAACCACAACCAGAACCCATCACAGATTCACCTCTCTCTTGTGGGCAAAGTTCAAAGTATCGCAGCTTATCATCAGTCAATGAGTATCGGTTTTTTAATGGGATTTGAGGACACGTGGCTATTTCTAAAAAAATGGTACCCTTCCCAAAGATACCCAGCTGATTCGACTCTTGAAGATTGAAACATTTTTAGCCTTGGTGAATGCATGGCCCCTTTGAATCACGCAATATGCAATTTTTATGTCGAT